CTCCAAACTATTATGCTAATGTGAAAGAAGGCACGCATAAAAAATCATGCACTCGATGATTCTATTTACATGAAATATCCAAAATAGATAAATAAATCTATATGAGATAAAAAGCAGATTAGTGGCTGCCAAAAGTCGGGGAAAAGAAGGAAATGGGGAGTGACTGCTCAATGGGTTTGGGATCTGCTCAACTGGATATAATGCAAGTATTTTGGAACTAGAGATGATGGTTTCATAAAATTGCGACTGTACTAAATGCCACTGAACTGAACACTTGAAACAGTTCATTTTAATGCTATGCAAATTTCACACAATTTTGTAAAATCAAATACAAGCATTACTCTCAAAAAGTGCAGTTCAAAAGTAAATGTGCTTTCTATAGTCCACTTATAACACGAAATACTAAAATCACTTTCCTAGAGACTTCTGTATATACCTGGTTCTGGCCTTGCTTTTTTCACTCCTATTAAGACATACCTGGCTAAATGTATCACTCGCTTTCCTCTGTCTTCATTTCCATATGGCTCAGCTGCCACTTCTCTATACTCACTACCCCTCTATCACTCCTTCACTGAGCCCTGAGAAGTCTCTGTTCTATTGAGTCATCTGTCAGTTAACTTGCTCTTCTGTGCTCCCCAGATTTATGACATTGAGGTCATCATTAACTCCCTCTTCTATCTCCCTCATCCAATAAATTATCAAGTTTTATGTCCATATTCTCACCTAAAGCTCTCTCTCAAATCCATGTCCTTCGTGCCATCCTCACTACCACTGCCAAACTTAATTCTCTCTTCATCACTTTGAGCCCAGTTTACAACAACAGAAAGCCTACCCAACCATCTCACCTTAAAAATTTCTAACTCGTATTTCAGCCTCTATACACTTACTAGAATTCTTTTTAAAATAAACATATGAATATGCTATTTGCCTACTTTAAATCTTTCGATGGCTCCCCCAGGTTTCAGGACAACTTCTTTAAGATGGACAGAGAAAAGCTTTTAGAGCTAGACCCTAGTGACCTCACTGCATTTATAAACCCTCACCCCACCCCAACTATCACCTTACCAGACTAAAACATTTGTACACCCCCAAAATCCACTGTGTTTTCATTCTGCTATGCGCTACATATGCTGTTCACCTAAAACCTTCCACTTACAACCCCATCTCCCATTTATAATCCTTCCACCCTATACACATTAGCTCCTTTAAGGCTGCTGTTTCATGACCCAACGCATACAGTGAGATTTTCACAAATGAACCTCCTCCATATGCCTTTTTATTTTTATTTTTTTAAAGAATTTTTTTTATCTTATTTATTATTTTTTAATTTGACCCCAGAGAGAGACAGCGAGAGAGAGAGAGGGAAAATAAGAAAGCAAGCTGCCATCTCCAGGACGCAAACCATGGTCAGCCATGTGGGAGTCCAGCGCCTTAACCACCAAGCCACCTGCTGGCCCCCATGCCTACTTTTTAACTGAAACCTGCTTTTTATCAATGATGCATATAACTAATAATCCTTTCTCATAGAAATCTTCTTTCTGATTCCCTTCCTGTCAGCCACGATGGTTACCTCACCCCCATACCACTACTCACACGCCAGTGCTAAATCATGCCCATCACCTATCATCATTCTACTTACCTTTTAAGTTCCTATTAGCAGTTACATTGACCTCTCCACTGTGTCATCAACATCATTTTCCAAAGTCATGACACAGTTTCAAGTTCCTCAATGACTTGGGCTACTACTTCATGTTTTCCCCCAACCTACCCATATTCTGCTGTCAACTTCAACATCTCTGCAGATTCTTTAGAGCCAAATACAAAGCAACAGAGAGCTGGTGTCAAAGGAAAGATAATTCTTCCTTTTGGCTGGGACCGCCATCTTCCAGTAATTAACCAAAATGACGAACACT